GCTGGTGAACGTGGTTACTCATTAGTTAAAGCATGGCTGGTTGTCTGTGGTTACTCATTAGTTAAAGCATGGCTGGTGAACGTGGCCATTCTCACTGGACGTGTTGAAGCTGTTTTGTTGGTGAGTAACGGGAGCGTTGCTCCGTCTTTCTCTTTTCTTTAGTCACCGTCACTGACAGAAAGTGGTTTTGTTTGTATAGCTTCTGTCATCGTAAAGTCCAACTGTGTTCAGCAATGTTTGTGTAATGTTTGTTTAATGTTTGTTTAATGTGTTTAATGTGTTTGAACGCGCAGACTACCACCGGCCAAGGCCCGCTACATGTCCTGTTAGCTCACAGCTAACGTAGCTAATCAACAGCGAGCCTTATTAATCTTTAAAGTCCACGATAACTTTAACCACTGCCGCATGACGGCCACAACATTCAGTACTGTCTGTAAAACAGTCGGGTGTCAGTTTTTTGTGCAACTTTAATTTAATACTAATGTCGCTGTGTATGATTTGATTAGCTTGTTAACGTAAACTAAGATATTTAGCGTAACCACCAGGTAACTCTACTACTTTGCCATTTGTTAATATTTGTTTTAAAATTGTAGCACTGCAGAGGCTTTATTATTAAATTATGAAATGAAGGAAAAGAGGAAACTTTGATTTAGCAAAGTTAACACTGTATTTTGAAATACTTTTCAAAAAAAACTTTTAAAGACTCGTTGTATTTGAAGATAGAAAATGGGAATGATTTAATTTTTCCTCGTGATCTTTAAAACTCTGAAGTATTTTTTATGTTGGTTATAATGAGAGTGCCATTTATTAAGAGCAATAATAATGAAAGAACTGTCAGGTCTGACTGTTTCAGACCAGGACGTTGAGAAAAGACTTGATTTTCAGATTTTGCAACCTGCGAGCACTTCGCTGTGTGAGCTCAAGTTTCTTTCATTCACATCACGAGGTTATTGTGGACAGAGTCCCAGTTACAGCCAACAAAGGTATAAATTGTAAAGAAAAACAGTAACAAGATCTAAGATATGAACTAAGAAATACACTACACTAAGAATACACTAAGCACTAGTAGTACAAAAACAATACGCAGAACAACAGCAGCACGAACATGAGTCTGTGTGAGCAGATGAGTAGGAATGAACACAGCAGCATGAGATAGATCAGCAGCATGAGATAGATCAGCAGCATGAGATAGATCAGCAGCACATATAGGGTTGGGCATCGAGAATCGTATGGAACCGGGACTAACTGTCCGGTTTTCCCGGAATCGTTCAAAATATATATCTTCGATTCCTATTTTTGATGCCAAGTCCGCCACCCGGAATTAGAAGCCGCCCGCCGATCACCAACGAAGAAGAATCCACGGGAAGTGTTCCCATACATGGAGAGTGAGCAGCCGCGGTCGAAAGCGTGACTTAACTTTAATAAAATGACGAGTTAGCTCAGTGCAGCATTTGCAATAATTTTATATCGTGCAAAGGAGGGTGTAGAAGTAACAGAGCGGCCTGTCTTTGAAGCGCTCCGCCGGACTGTTTTCCCTGCCTCCTTCTCCGGCTCCATCAGGTAAATAAAACTATAAACTACGTCTCATACCAACATTAAAGCAGCTAACAAGTTATACTCAACTTAAAGCAGAAGGTCAACTCAAATACAAACACCATGCTAACGTTAGCTCATATTTTTTTCATAGACAAATGACATGAAATGGTTAATAATGTTATGGAGGCTCCTCGATGTGCTCCTCGGTTCACCAAGCAGTTCTCCAAGGGAAATGTGTTGGTGCAACTGAATAAAGAGCGCCACAGAACGGTTACAGCACATATTGTGAAATGGTTTCATCCCTGTTCAGATGTGGAGTCACCAACATTTAGGTTAGTTAGGCAACAACAAT